AGTGGAAGGATGGGGAGGAGACAGAGGAGAGAGATCATGGATCTGAGAGCGAAACATCGATTGGTTGCTCTCGCAGCATCCCACCAGGGCGGGGCACTGAGCCGCAACCGAGGCACATGCCCTTGACTGGAATCAAACCTGGGATCCTTCAGTCCGCAGGCTGGTGCTCTATCCACTGAGCCAAACTGGCCAGGGCTATACTTTTTACATATTACTCTAATACTTGGTGAATATTTAAATTTCCCCCAAATTATCAATACTGGTTGTTAAAAGCCGGTCAGTCTTGCATTGCTTTGGTCTCTTTTCATCGAGAAGTCTCCACCTTTAGTTCCCATGGTGTTAGCCTGTTCAAGAGACCAAGCTGGGTGTCCTAAAGAATTCAGCAAATATTTATGGAGAGCCTGCTGTGTGCCAGGCGCTGCTCTGGGCGCTGGGAATACTGCAGCGAACGTAAGAGACATGACTGAGTCCCTGCCCTCAGAGCTGATGGTAAAGATACAGTGTCAGGTGGTGACAGGGGCCCGGAGCATCAAGCGCGTGGGGGATGCGCGTGGGGGATGCGAGTGTCCAGGGCCGGGTGTGTGCGCTGGGGCTGGAGGAATGCGGCGTTAAATGGCTTGATCAGAGAACCCTCATTGAAGAGGTGACATCTGAGCCAAGACCTGCCTGAAGGGGTTGAAGAATGGGAAGGAATGGTGTCTGAGAGAGGAACATTCCAAGCCCCGGGAACTGGCAAGTGCAAAGGCCCTGGGGCGGGAACATACTGGGGCATTCTGGGAATAGCAGGAAGGCCAGCCGCCTGAGGTGGAGTGGAGGGGGGGGCGGGGCGGGATGAGATGAGGACAAAGATAACACGGGCAGATGGCGCAGGGCCTTGTGGGCTGTGGTGAGGGTGTGGGCCCTTCCTCTGAGTGAGGTGGCAGCCATGGAAGGTTTTGAGCAGAAGAGGGACATGGGCCGACTTGGGGACCCTCTATGGGGGGCAAGAGCAGAAGCAGGGAGGCCGCAGGAGGCGACAGCCAGGGTCCAGGTGACAGGTGCAGGTGAGTGGAACCGGTGTGGAAGCAGTGGGGGTGGCGAGAAGACTGGGAGGTAGAGCCAGCGGAAGGACCAATGGTTAGATGTGGAGCGGGAGAGAGAGCGGCCCACCGGTAGCATGGCACCGTCACTTTAAGACAGGACCGGCTTCAGAAAGAGCAGGCTGAGGTGCAGGTCAGCAGTGAGGTGTCTGTCTGTCCAGGAGGGAGCAGAGTCGGAGTCCGGGGGAGGGGTTGGCAGGACACAG